GAACGCCGTGACGAACTGCGTCCCCACCGCCTGCCCCACTTGCATCCCCACCAAATCAGCCAGCCTGTGCAGCACACCATGCATGGGCCAAACGCCATAACCGGAAAAAAGAAGGTTTGGGCTGAGAATTGCCACAATATTCATGAGGATAGGGCTTGGGTGTAAGGCTTACCAATACTTGCAACAATATGGAAGGCATGATCACCTGAAGAGCCCCACGGGCATGCCGAAGGCCTTGATGACCTGGTCGATGAGCAGGCAGGCCGCCATGTTGTCGGGAAAGAAATCGTGATTGACAGCCTGATTGGTTGACAACCTTACCAGTTAGCGTTCCCCAAAGCCCAGCCTCACACCTATGGAGAACAGATTGCCCCATGGACAGTAATGTGGAATCACCTGAAGGGTCCCATGGGCATGCCGAAGGCCTTAATGACCCGGTCAATGCGATAGAGATCCAACCCCAGGTCCACGAGCACGCAGGCCGCCATGGTGTATGGGAAGAAGACGCGGTTGACCGCCTTATGGGTTACAGCCTTACAACTACGGAACACCAAGGGAGGAAGGGGCGGAATCACCTGAAGGGTCCCATGGGCATGCCGAAGGCCTTGATGACCCGGTCGATACGGTAGAGATCGACACCAAGATCCACGAGCAGGCAGGCGGCCATGGTGTAGGGGAAGAAGACTCGGTTGACAGCAAAGCCAGTGCAGTTGCCCACCACCACTGGCGTCTTCTTAATGGTCTTGCCCAGGGTGATGAGATCAAGGATGGCCTGAGGGGAGGTCTTATCAGTGCGGACCACCTCCAACAGCGGCATCACATGGGCAGGGCTGCGATGGTTAAAGGGGGCGTGGGGTGGGGGGGAGCAGGAGGGTGATGAGATCCAGGATGGCCTATGGGAGGTGTTGTCTGTGCGAACCACCTCCAGCAGCAGCATCACGTGGGCAGGGCTGCGACGGTGGGGAGGGGGGGGAAGGTCAAGAGAACATATATACTGGTTAGTGTTGGCCAATACGGGCGTCTTCTTGATGGTCTTGCCCAAGGTGATGAGGTCAAGGATGGCCTGTTAGGAGGTCTTTTCGGTGCGGACCACCTCCAACAGCGGCGGGCAGAGAGGGGGAAAGAACAGAAGAAAAATTAGAAGTTGGACGAAGAGAAAAAATTAGCAATATGAGTTGGGTTGGACATGGGCAGCAGATGGGTAGGACTGGAGTGATCAACAGCAAGGGTGAAGTAACCGAATGTTTTGGGGGCGAGAGGGGGTTGCAAGAAACAACATAGTCACAGGCTTGGCACTGGCTGTGAGGCCTCATACCAGCCATGGGATCTGGACCAGAATCTGGCAGACATGCACCCCCCAGGTCGCCAACACCTACACACCCAAGTACCTGAACATCGTATAGACTCTCTGATCACATCACTCCTGAATACCTGAAGAAGTGTGCACCGATGATGCGGTCCTGGGAGCGAGTCTTGGCTCCAACGACGTTGAGGTCGATGGTTGACGTGTTGGACGAGAGGATGCACGCAGGCTTGCACACCCTCTCCAGGTCCTGGAAGATCTGCTGCTTCAAAGGGATGCTCTCAATCACAGCCTGCATAACAGAAAGATGCAAGTGAGAAGATAATATTGCATTTAATCCTTTAGCTTCAGATGTTAACTGCCGTTTACTTCTAGGGATTGTTGTGCAGCAGATATGTTTTTTTTGGATGGCGTTAGCTCTTCCCTGTCTCACCTCAATGACCAGATCCACGTCAGCGAAGTCGTCGTAGGAAAGCGTGCCCTTGAGTAGCGACAGAATCTTATCCACCTGCTCCTGTGTCATCCTCCCTTTCTTTAGCCTGCCTTGGAAATTTGCTGCCACCAAACAAGAGAAAAAAAAAAAGAGGATATCATTACCTCCAAACAAGGCCGATTCTGATGCAACCAGCACTCATCAGATAATCGAGACAAGTGGAAGTAGGAAGATATGAATATGCTCACCCTTGACACGGTCCAGCCCTTGCTGGAGAAACTGGGCATTGACCTCCTTGAGAATGACTTGAATCTTCGCCGTGATGAGCGCGGTGACAATCCCAGAACCCATCAACCCCCCTCCAATCACTGCCACCTTGCGGAGGGGCCGAGGCTTCAAACCCCGATCTGTGACTCCAGGGATCTGAAAACACAGCAGATTCGTTAGCATGTCATCCAGCTTCCTTCAATTTCTGATGCTTTGGCTGGTGCCATAAAGGGTTTCAGTGAGGAGGATTCAATTACTGCGATCTAAGGCTTCCAAAGCAATGTACCTTAGTTGTTTGCCTCTGGGCGAAGAAGATATGTGTCAGGGACTTGGCCGTGTCAGCAAGCACAAGTTCCAAAAACACCTCCTCTTCCTGCAACAGGCACAAAACAACAGCTTCAGCTTTCTAAATACTCACATTCTATACAATGGTGAGGTGGCAGCCACACATGAAGTTTTCTTGTCCTCCATCCAAAACTCACCTTGAGATTGCCGGCGTACCCCCCATGGGTGACGCCATACTCCATGGCGTCCAAGCACCGCAACGGATGAGTGAGGTTAGGAGCCGTCTGAATCGCCTGAACCCTTGCGAACTTGAAGATGGCTCGAGCCTCGCCCAGGCTCTCAATCCTGTCGTTCCTCTCCAGCGTCTTCAGCCATGGTTTCCTGCCGCTGGCAATATCCAGGGCCCACGCCTTGGCGGTGGTTAGCAGGGCATTGCTAGGAACAATTTGATCAACGAGACCAGCCTTGAGTCCCGCTTCAGATGTGATAGGCTTGGACATCTGGGACCAAAGGGGGAACAAGACAATATTAGAAATGATAAGTAGCATGAAGTTTCATATTCTGCAGGAAAATGCCTAAGAAACTCACCAGGATCATTTCAATCGCCTTCTGTAGGCCAACCAGGCGAGGCAAACGCTGAGTGCCTGGACACAACCAGCAGAACACGACCAGCACAAGAAAACACAATGTTGGAAAAAACAAAAGTTTCTTACGACCAGGGCTTGCAAATCAAGAAATCCAGCAACACCACCAACACCAGAAGCATACGAAATGATGGCTCAGCATAGGCTGATCATTGCACACATGGATGATGCCAGTACCTCCGAATCCAGGAATGATGCCGAGCTGCAGCTCTGGAAGCCCCAGCTGGGCCTTGGGTGCAGCGATTCTTGCATGGCATGACTGGCATTGGAAAAAAAAGCAAGGGAACAATCAAAACCGACTATGATCTTCAGAGTGTGTACTTGCGTACTTGCGTGAGAATGTTATTGCGTGTTTTACAAGGTTATACGAGCTAGAGCGGTGACGTACGTACCAGAGCAAGCTCCAAGCCACCGCCTAGAGCAAGACCCTCAACGGCCGCCACGACTGGCTTTGAACCACCTGCATAAGAAGCACTGAGATGTGTGAGTATTCGTAATTATGACACATTCTATTCCACATTGAAAAGAAACGTTGAGAGCTGCATACCTTCAATGGTCTCCACGAAGAGTGGGACTGACGGCCTGACCATCGAGTCCATGTTCCCTGTAACAAGGACAACCAGCACAAGAAAACACAGGAAAGAGTCACAGACCAACTCGAATCGCGAGAAGAATCGCGAGAGTTCTATCGCGCGAGTAGCACGAAGAGACAATGATCAGTACCATTTTCCTGGACTGCAACAATCGCCGAGATATCGAAGCCTCCTGAGAACTTGCCATTTGTCCCTGAAACAGCAGTCACAGAAAAGAACCAGAGTGAGCTACATCCGGACAAACAAGTTATGCTAAACTAGTTTCGACAAGAAAAGAAGGAAGTGCGGGAGGGGTTTATTTGCAATTTACCGATCACGACAATGGCTTTCACGTCGTTCCTCCGGTGCGCCTCGTCGAACGACACCTTCAAACCGAGTAGGACTGCAGACAAACTCAATAGGTTAGAATACTGAAGACGAATCGCGAATGCTTGATAATAAACACCACGATCCTGGTTCAAAGAATCAATAATACCTTCTGGTGCGAGAGCATTGACAGGAGGGTTGTGGATTTCAATAACAGCCACTCCATCCGAGCCCACGGTGAGCTTAACCTTTGGCGTCGCCATTACGAGCGGTCCGATGCGCACTCGCAACTTTTGATCAAGATAAAAACGCCTAGAAAACCTCGTGTGTGTGGGCGAAAGCAGCTGCTAAAGCTGAGAAATTCTAACGGGAAACGGATGCTCGGAATGAGGGTGAAGCAAATGCTTGATGACAGGAGTAGGCAAGAATATTTGCTCCGTGATGTTGGCGGTTTCATTTCCACGTCAGGTAGGGCTGCTGTGTCCCAAGGACATGTCAGTGTGGTCCGTGCTGACGTGGGGAGAAAACAAGCTGACAGAACTGGTCCCATTGTTTGCCCAACCAATCCCACCGACATTGAAGACGAAAGAAACATATTTACGACGCAGCCAATTCTTCTACAAATTGCTATAGCGCCACAGAGAAGTTCCCCATAAAGCGTACACAAACGTCTAGACACGTGGCACGAATGTTGCTTCACAATTCCTCCTTCAAGCCGCGCGCAACTAAAATCGAGGGACATGCGGCGCGCTGCTTCCTTGGCCCCCCTACTCCAATCAATCTGTCGAACCCCACAGAAACTCCAATTTATTTAATTAGGGAGGAATCAAGCTCGGAGATAAGCACAAAAAAAGCACAAGGTCCGTTTTTCGCAACCTCGAAGTTCTAAAAACAAGCACGACTTTTTAGAGGACTTGGTTCACGCAGCCACTCGCCAACACCAAGGTCACGTCATCATCCATTTTGACATTATTGAATTAGGGAGGCAGTTTTTTTCGCTCTCAACTTCTGGACTCGGAGCAACAATTTTCTCATAGCCCTATCGATCTGGGGCTGCCGCCGTATACTAAAAGGAAAGTAGGGGAGCATCTGTTTGACTCGGTATTTAATATCGAGCCAACGAGGTGGGCTTAAGTGGGCAGAATACGGAGGCTAGCCGATCAAGCCAGATGGGAAAAAGAACGACGGTCATCGTTAAGAAGCGTCCGAACGAGATGGCGATACCGCAGCCCGCTGCCGCATCGAAATTTGACACTATAAGCACCCCTCTGAAGCTGGATAGTGGGCCGAGGCATCGATATACCCGCAAGAAGGAACGGGTTTCTGAAGTCGAGAGACAAGGTGTGCGGAAGAAGCTGAAGATCGCATCCGTAGCTAGTAATGAGGACGCGGATAACGGAAAAGCTCTGGTGGTTTTCGAACCCAAGGGTCCAGAATCAGCGGGTGCCGGAGGGGAGGAGTCGTGGGCTAAAGCTTCGGACAATTCTCATAAATCGACAGCCGAAGGCTCGGAAAGGACGGCTCGAAGAACGTCGAGAGTGGATGCGAAGGATGTGAAGAAGGAGCCGCGGGGTGGGGAGTCTCCCTTGGCCATTGTACCTTGGGAAGTATCGAGGCGAGAGTCGGGCAGCGGGGTGCGAGAGTCGAGCAGGGAAGTGCGAGGGTCGAGCAGGGAGCTGCGCATGCTGCACTCGTACTCATTATTACGAAGGAGTGCGTGTAAAGAGGTCACGAGGCGCAAGGACAGGGAGCTGCGCAAGCTGCACTCGTTTACGTTGCTTAAAAGGAGTGAGTTTACAGCGGAGATGGAGGAATTGTCGGGAAGGGGAAACGACACAGCGAGGATTACCCGCGCTTCGAGAAGGAAGGCTGTTGCCTGGAGGGGAGGTGGAGGCGCAGGTGGAGGCGCAGGTGGAGGAGGGGGAAGCGGTGAAGGGGGAGGATTTGAGTCGACTCTAAAGTCCTCGTGGGGTCACTTGAAGTGGAAAATGGTGCTGGCGGAGGACATGGACGAAGCGGAGGTAGCGGAGGAAGCGGGGGTAGCGGAGGAAGCGGAGGTAGCGGAGGAAGCGGAGGTAGCGGAGGAAGCGGAGGTAGCGGAGGACATGGAGGAAGCGGAGGAAGCGGAGGAAGTGAAGGAGGAGGGGGCCGTGAAAGGGGAGGGGGGGGTTTGGGGTCAGATGGAGTCGAAAGTGGTGTGGGGAAATGCGGCAGAGGACGCGGAGGATGTGGAGGAAGTGGGGGAAGCGGAGGAATTGGGGGAAGCGGAGGATGTGGGGGAAGTTGAGGAAGCGGAGGAAGTGGGGGAAGTTGAGGAAGAGGAGGAAGTGGGGGAAGTGGGGGAAGCGGAGGAAGCGGAGGAAGTGAAAGAAACGGAGGAGGTGGAGGAGGTGAAGGAGGTGGGGGATGTGCAGCGGGCAGGTGGTCAAGGCGGTCTCTATGTGGCCGAAGAGGCGGTAGAGTTGGTAAAAGTGGAGGAGGCGGAGGAAGTGGAGGAGGTGAAGGAGATGGGGGATGTGCAGCGGGCAGGTTTCACAATGGGTTACCATGAGGCACCACAAAACGCGGCGGTGCTAGAAGCGGCGGAGGTAGAGGAAATGAGGGAGGTAGATGAAGTGAGGGAGGTAGAGGAAATGAGGGAGGTAGAGGAGGTGAAAGAGGCAAAGGAAGTGGCGGAGGTGGCGGAGGTGGCGGAGGTGAGGGAGGTGGCGGAGGTAAAGGAGGTGGGGGAGGTAAAGGAAGTGGGGGAGGTAAAGGAGGTGGGGGAGGTAAAGGAGGTGGGGGAAGTAGGGGAGGTGGAAGAGGCAAAGGAAGTGAAGGAGGTAGGGGAAGTGGGGGAGGCGGAGCGGGCAGTTGGCGAAGGCGGTCTCTATGCGGCGGAAGAGGTGGTAGAGTCGGCGAAGGCGGAGGAGGCGGAGAAATTGGCGGAAGGAGTTGGCGAGGGGTCAGGCGCTGCAGGGAAGGTGGAGCGGCAGCAAATGTCGGTAGTGAGGAAGGGAGCGGGGGAAAGGGGGCGGGGACGGGGAGGGGGGCGGGGACCGGGACGGGGCAAGAGCCCGAGCCTGCAGGGGGAGGCAGCTTGGGCGGGGAAGGTAGGGGGGGCGGAGGAACTGGGGGAGATGGGGAGGGTGAAGGAGGAGCGGGAGGGAGGAAAGTTAGCGGAGGGGGAGGGGGGAAAGACGAAGGGGATGGATTGGGGAAAGAAAACTGTGGCGGAGGAAATGGAAAATACAGGAGAGGCAGGAGCGCTAAAGTGCGAGGTTGTGGATTTGACTGAAGAGGAGGAGGGGAGCGAGGAGAGGGAGGGGGGCGAGGAAAGGGTTGGGGGTGAGGAAAGGGTTGGGGGAGAGGAGAGGGTTGGGGGCGGGGAGGAAGGGAGCAAGGAGAAAAAAGCGTGCGGGGATGAAGAGATAGTGGTGGGGGTGGGGTTGTATACAGAGGTGGAAGAGAAAGAGGGTATGGAGGTGAAAGGGGGGAACACCAGTGCCGTGGGTGTGGAGGAGTTGGAAGTGGTTGGGGGGCAGGTGAAGGAGGAGCAGCGGAAAAAGGCAGCACAGGGGAAACAGTGTGAGAAGGGAGGGAAGGTTAAGCAGTGTGAGCGAGGAGGGCAGGGCAGGGTTACCAGGTTACTGCGTAACAGCACGGTGCTGAAGAGAGTGGAAGCGGAGCAAGGCGGTGGGCGGCACAATGGGTGGCACAGTGGGCGGCACAGTGGGCGGCAGCAGCAGAAGGAGATGGAAGGGGGAGGAGAGCAGGAAGTGGTGGGAGAAGGGGAGGGGGAAGGAGGGGCTGAGGAAGAAGCGGAGTGGTGCATGGGGAAGAATGCCGCAGAGGCAGAGAATAAACCAATGAGGAAGGATAAGCCTTCTGGTTCCGCTGGTTCTGCTAGCAAAGTTGGCGACACGCATGAGGAGAAGGGACAGGAATCTGCTGCGGAAGAGTCTGGGGCGGCTGGAACTGGGGAGGAGGCTGCAGGAGGGAGTGGGAGGAAGAATGCGCGGAAGGGTGGGGGTATTGGGGGGAGGACGAGGGGGCGTGGGGCGAAGGGAGAGGGAAAGAGTGAGGGGAGTGGGGTTAAGGTAGGGGGGAGTGGGGCAAGTAAGGGAAGCAGAAGGAGGGCAGTGGGGGGGAGTAAAGGAGGAGAGGTAGGAGGGGAAGGAGGAGGCGAGTTGGGAGGGGAAGGGGGAGGAAACATGGGAGGGAAAGGAGTAGGAAATGGAGCAGGAGGAGAGGAGAGTGACCAAGTGGGAAGAGAGGAGAGGGAAGGGTTGGGGGAGAGCGAAGGCATGGGGGGAGGAGAGGAGAGCGAAAAGAGCGAGGGCATGACAGGGGAGGCGGGAGGGAGGAGAGGGAGGAGGAGGCGGAACGCAGGAGGGAGGAGGAGGCGGAACGCGTACATTGCAGAACTTGTGGAGGCGGAGAGGAGAGAGGGGATGCACACGGGAGAGGACGAGTATGAGGACTTGGATGGGTTTATTGTGTTTGAGAAGGACAAGTACGAGCGCGGCGAGTATGTGTTTGCTGTTGCTGTGGCGTGGCGAGAGGCTGCTGAAGGCTGGAGGCACGCTGGAGAAGAGTTGATCCCAGAAGATGAATAGTGAAAGAAGGGGGTGAGGGGTGGGGCGCGGAGGAGGGGGCAAGGACATGAGTGGGGATGGGTAAGAGGACCTGGACGGTTGGGTTATGTTGCACGGGGAACTAGTGAGTCGACTCAAAAGGGTGGGGAGCGGAGGAAGGGAACAACATGAGAGGGGATGAGTAAGAGGACCTGGACGGATGGGTTATGTTGCACGGGGAACTAGTGAGTCGACTCAAAAGGGTGGGGAGCGGAGGAAGGGAACAACATGAGAGGGGATGAGTAAGAGGACCTGGACGGATGGGTTATGTTGCACGGGGAACTAGTGAGTCGACTCAAAAGGGTGGGGAGCGGAGGAAGGGAACAACATGAGAGGGGATGAGTAAGAGGACCTGGATGGATGGGTTATGTTGCACGGGGGACTAGTGGTGACTCTGATCTCCTTCTGTCCCTTCCTCTGACGGAAGGAATCCTTCTCTCTCTCCTCTCCCTCCTTCCCCTTTACTTACCTTCCCTCAACTACCTATTTTTATCGAATATCCTTAGTGTATGGTGTCTCTAGTGTTTAGATGCTGATGTTGACAAACCGGCACAGTAGCCAAGTGTAGTCCGGTCCAGAATGATTTGTTGACCATGTATTGGTTCTGAACAAGTTGGACTGATTCTCCTATGCTGTTATCCACATGTGATTTGACATGGCAGTTGTATCCAGAACAGTGTAAAGCGGACAAAATTAAGAACACCTCGTTTATGTGTCATATGGTATGATTAAGGCCCATCCACTTGCTGACAAAAGAAACAACACCTCTTTCATGTGATTGATGATGAGTCATCGGTATGATGATGAGGGTACACCATTGCATTCAACACGCACGTCCTATTCAAAGCAGATGTGATGTACAGTTCAGAGTTCGACAATACCGCGTGCTTGCATCACCAGCCTATCCCACCCTCTCTCCCCCGCCACTGCTTGCTGCAGTGAAACGGGTGCAGTGTAGAAACACACACACAGCCACACACACACACAGCCACACACAGAGCCACACACACACACACATACACACACACGCACGCACACACACACAAACCACACAGCAACATACACACACACAGCCACACCCACACACGCACAGCCACACAACACAGTCATACACACACACACACAGAGACACACAGCCACCTCTCTCTCTCTCTCTCTCTCTCTCTCTCTCTCTCTCTCTCTCTCTCTCTCTCTCTCTCTCTCTCTCTCTCTTGTATTAATTCAGCAGGGGTACAAACATGCAGTTCTATCCATGTTAGCCTCAATCCCTTAAACTCATTAACCCACCCCTGTTCCCCCACACCCTGAGTGACCCTCTACCCCTCCAGCGTGTGGAGGATGTCCCCCAGGTGCAGCGGCCAGGGGTCCGCTGCCATCTGGGGGTGCGCTGCCTCGATCCCAGCCCTGGCCTTGGTGTGCAGGGCGTTCGCCTGGGAGCGCTGGAGGGCCACTGACCAGCGCTGGCTGAAGTGGCAGCGGACCCACGCCTTCACCCACGTCCCCAAGAAACATATCCATCCCTTCGTTTCAACCTCCTACACACCATTGCTCCCCTTTCACGCCTGTCTCCTGTACCACTCGCCCTCCACCCTCTCAAAGCCCCCGCCAGCCCCCCAAGTGGCAGTGATCCGCTTCACCTCGCCCTCTCCCACCACCCACGACACCGACAGCACAAACGGCCTCCCCGCCACCAGCTGTCGGGAGCGCGGGGCGCACGCCACCAACCCGTGCGGCAGAGCAAACACCGCGTACCTCTCCTTGTCTCCCTCTGGCACTCGCCCCATGAACCCAGCCGCTGCTGCGTCCGCTGCAACGGACTTTTCATCTGAAGCAGCAGCAGCTGCTGCGGCGGCAGCGGCAGCACTGTTAAGGCCCCATTCTTCCGCCCAGGACACGTTCTCTCGCTCCTGAACCATCAGGTTGCGAGTCAGAACGGTGCGAGTTCCCACCATCGTCTTGTCATCTAGTGCCGGAACGGGCGGCAGGTGGTCGGGAAGCTGGGACGGGACGCCGCCCGGGCCCCATGTGAGCCAGACCCAGTCGGAGGGGCGGCGTTCGTTGGTTTCTAGTGAGTCCTCCACCACCACGTAGGCACGCAATGCTCCTTCCGGATCGTATCCCACCATGCAGCCGAAACGAGACGTGGGGGCTGGAGAGAGAGAGGAGCAAAGGAAAGAAAGGAAAGAAGGGACGGAGCTGTGAACGGGGAGAGAAGCTCTGCATCAGTTCTGAACGGCCACAATGCTCCGAAAGGCGGCGTTCGTTGGTGTCTAGTGAATCCTCTACCGCCACGTAGGCGCGCAGTGCTCCTTCTGGATCGAATCCCACCATGCAGCCAAAACGAGACGTGGGGGCTGGAGAGAAAAAGGGAGTGATGGACAGAAAGCAAGTAAAGGAGGTGTGAATGGAGAGAGAAGATTTGCATTTAACTCTGAACAGCCGCAATCCTCCTTGGTGATCCAATTCGGCTATGCAGCCAAGACGAGACGTGGGGGCTGGAGAGAAAAGCAAACGGAAGAAACACGAACGGGGAGAGTTTATCAGTTCATACACTCTGAGAACAGCAGCAGAGGGAGCCCGTTATGAGGCACCTAGAAAACAAAAGTACTTTTTTGCTGACTGAGCGATTGAGTTGAGACGATTGCAGCAGCCATGACTCACTGTGGGAGAAGCAGAGATTGTACCAGCAGCAAGGAGCACTCACTGTGGGAGAAGAAAAACTCTTCCACAAAAGGCTTGATGCCGCCCGCCCCATCCCCCACCTCCAGGGGGCCCCAAATCCCGTCCCCCTCCCTGCTGACGGAGTGGCGGCGCGCTGTGCCGACTGCCACGTGGCAGAATCCGTCTGGCAGGCTGTGCTCCGCGAGTGACATGTCCCATTGGACGCCGACCGGAGGCCGAAACTTGGGAACCTCGCCCTGCTCGTCGTAAAAGTCGTTCTGAAGCAGGGGAGGCGAGGGAGAGAGCGTGGGGAAGAGTGCGAGGGGAGAGCGTGGGGTGAGAGTGTGAGGGGGGAGAGTGCGAGGGTGGAATTTGAGTGGACTGAAAAGGCGGGCTGTACTCCGCGAGTGACATGTCTCACTGGACCTCGCCCCGACTGGGGCCGAAACTTGGGAACCTCGCCCTGCTCGTCGTAAAAGTCGTTCGGCGGTAGAACAGGGGAGGGATAGCATGGGGGATAGTGCGCGGGTGACATTTGAATCGATTGAAAAGGCACGCTGTGCTGCGTCACAGTGGGCGTGCGTCACAATGCGAGGAAAAACGACAAGGCAAAGGAGAACAGGACCTACACGCGGGGTTGCGGGGGAAGGGGGAGGGGGAGAGGTGGTGGGGAGGGGTGGGAGGATGGTCGGGATGGGGAAGAGAAAAAAAAGGGGTAAGGGAGGGAGGAAAAAAGTCTGTGTGGCTCACCATGTGAGCGAAACTGCTGCGATCGGGTGACGTGGCCCAAAATTTCCGCACGGATTTAAAGGATCGGATCGCGTCCGTTGATTCGAGCGGCTTCCAGCATCGCCATTGGCCGTGCCAGTTCGTCATAAGGCGCTCCGGCGTACCCCACCACCAGTGCTCCTCCGTACTCATCTGCCTGAACGGTGCCGCATCTTCGCCACCAGACGCCATGGATGATGCTGACTTGGAAGGTGCTGACGTGTTAGGTGCTGACATGGACGAGCCGGTGTGGGGGTTCACGGAGCAGAACATTGGTACAGAGTGGATGAGAGAAGAAAGAAATTTAATTAAGAAATGATGGAAAAGGATGGGAATCAGAAAGGTACGGAGCGCTCCATTGCTACAGATAATCTGGCAATTAGAATATCCACAGAGCTCGCAAGGTGAATGGGTCAAGTTGAGTGATAAAGTACTTCCTACCTGTTAGGCTCACGCTCTTGGTGGATCGCCCGTCAATGCGGGTCAAAGTCTCCCACGAGAGATGGCAAGTCTAGCAACCCCCTCGAACTAGACTATTCGGATAATGTAATCGCTGCCACCGCTGCAGCATTGGTGATCGACACGCCTTTGGATTTAATCGCGGCACGGACGGCTGTAGCGAGGAGGCTAGTGGTGATTCTAACGAGATATGGGAAATGCGTGGGAACATGGTTCTTATCTTCTTGCACGGTGATAATTCGCGGATGGTTGCTGTGTGCCTGGGCTCTGCGATCCTCCCCTCGTTTCAGTCACTAGCCTTTGGGAAGCCGATCAATGCTACGCCTTTGGATGTGATGTGATGTGACACACCACTCAACCCCACCACCATAGAAAATGGCGTACGCGTTTTCAGGAGTATGCAGCACGAATGGCAGGGTTCGATGCAACAAGGGTAATGTGCAATGTGAATACTTCACAACGACCACTTGTTACTTGGAAAAAACACATAATACTGATAATCATTGTGACATTCCATGGCAAGGGCTTGCATATGATAGATTCTACACAATTTTTTAATACACATTCCTTTCACAGCAAGTGTACAGTAAGATCACACAACCTTTTACCCTGCCAGACGCATCCTCTACACCCCACTAGTTCTCAGCGAAGCAGCAGGGATGCACTAGCGAACACCTTCCTCTCCTTGACATGCCTTCATCGCCATTTCTTGTCCCACACTACCTCGCTACCACTCCCCCTCGGCCTTTAGAGGTGCCTCACAAGCCCTGCCTTGCCTTCACACCCGTCTCTTGTACCACACTACCTCACTACCACTCCCCCTCAGCCGCCTCAAAGCCCCCAGCGTCCCCCCACGAGGCAGTGATTCGCTAACCCTCGCCCTCCCCCACCACCCACGACACCTCCCCTTTCATCATTCTCTCCTGTACAGCTCCCCCTCCACTTTCTCAAAGCTCCCATCCGCTCCCCAAGAGGCAGTGATGCGCTTCACCTCGCCCTCCCCCACCACCCACGACACCGAAAACACGAATGGCCTGCCAGCCACCAGCTGTAGCGAGCGTGGGGCGCACACCACCACCCCGTGCGGCAGAGCAAACACCGCGTAACGTTCCTCGTCCCCCTCCGGAACTCGTCCCATAAACCCAGCTGCTGCCGCTGCTCCTGTTACTTCTGCTGCCAAGGCTTTTCCCGCTGAAGCCGTGTCACCAGATGCAGCTGCTGCAACAGCTGCAGCAGCGGCAGTGCTGTTAGGGCCCCATTCTTCTGCCCAGGACACGTTCACTCGCTCCTGAACCATCAGGTTGCGAGTCAAAATCGTGCGCGTTCCCATCATTGTCTTGTCATCTAGTGCCGGAACGGATGGCAGGTGGTCGGGCAGATGGGACGGGACGCCGCCCAGGCCCCATGCAGGCCAGACCCAGTCGGAGGGGCGGCGTTCGTTGGTGTCTAGTGACTCCTCGACCACCACGGAGGTGCGAAACGCCCCATCTTGTTCGAACCCCACCATGCTGCCGAGTCGAGCTGTGGGGGCTGGAGGGGAAAAAGCAAACAGAGCAGATGCGAGCAGGAAGATTCATTACACGATGGCTGACGCATCCGCTTTCATTTTGAGAGAGGAGCTGAGATGTTGTATCAGCAGCAAAGGGCGCTTACTGTGGGAGAAGAAAAATTCCACCAGGAATGGCAGCTTGATGCCGCCTTCCCCATCGGCAATCTCCAGAGGCGCCCAGATGGCGTCGGCCTTCCTGCTCACGACGTAGCGGCGCGCGTTGCTGTTTGCCACGTGGCAGAATCCGTCTGGCAGGCTGTGCTCTGCCAGGGACATGTCCCATTGGACGCCCACCCTGGGCGGCTGCTTGGAAACTTCTCCCTGGTGGTCGTACCAGTCGTTCTGAGGAAGGGCAGGGGAGGGAGAGTTCGAGGGGAGAGTGTGAGGGGAGAGCGTGAGGGGAGAGTGTGAGGGGAGAGTGTAAGGGGAGAGTGAAGAGGGACTGTGAGGGTGACATTTGAGACGACTTAAAATCTTGACTCCCGCCCTGGGCGGCAGAAAGCGGAACATGGGCTTGCGTCAGTGTGTGTGGAAAATCGACCAAGAGAAAGGAGAATGAGCACTAGGCGAGGAGGAAAAAGGGGGGAGAGGGAGAGGAGGGGGGGGGGGGGGGGAGGGGAGAAGGGGAGACGGAGAGGGGTAGGAGAGGAAGGGTCTGAGAATCACCATGTGGGCGAAGCTGCTGAGATCGGGTGACGTGGCCCATATTTTCCGCACGGATTTCATGGATCTGATCTCGTCCGTTGATGTGAACGGCTTCCACGATCGCCACTGGCCGTGCCAGTTACCCATGAGGTATTCGGGTGTGCCCCACCACCAGTGCTCCTCCGGACTCATCTGCCGGAATGGCGCCGTTTCTCCGCCGTCAGATGTCATTGCTGATGCTGACGTGGACGGTGCTGACGCGGAAGGTGCTGACGTGGACGGGCCGGTGTGGGAGTTCACAGAGCAGAACACCGGTACAGCAGGTGATGCGTCGCGTTTACCTGAAACGGGAAGTTGACGAGGTACAGTGCAGATTCGATGCAATTAACGTTCTGGCATCTCATATTCCAAGTTCTTGCAAGGTGAATGAATGGGAAACGTCGACTGAAAAGTATCTACCTATCAGACTCGCGCTCTTGGCGGCGCCCTCGGAGTAGGTAGTAGTAGACGCGACGGCTGCAGTGCTGCTAATCGGCATGCTTTGGATTGAGTCGTAGCGGCTGACGGGGACAGCAACTCAATGGCTTGTGATAGTGCCAACTGTGGAGGCTTGTGACGGAATCCGGGAAATAGCTTGATACTGTAGAAATGCTGCTCCTCCTCCTTGGAGGATGATTCGCATATGTTCTTGGGAGTTGCTGCTCCGCACGTGCGCTGCGCTCCTGTCTGGAGCTTATCGAAGCTCCGCCAATGGTATTTAGGCTTGTGGATTTCGAACGAAGCTGCTGGAGAACCCATCTTTTCGAGCTCCTGAAAACCCTGTTCGATCGAGACGACAAGAACATGCGAAACGACTTAATCCGACGGCTGTAAAGCATGGACGACGCAAGGGAAAACATGCAAATGCGGGCGACTCTTTCCATCACCCCCCTTTTCGGCAGCGACCCTGCCTTGGCAACAGGTTGGCTCGCAACCGTCGTCGTCGTCGCTAAGCGACAGAAGGCATCCTGCATGGTGGCCAGGTGTCACATCGAGACTCGAGATTCGGGGGTTGGGGGTCGATGCAGCCTATGCTGTGTTCGCCGTCCTGCTAAGGACGTGTGTGAAACAAGGGTTTATGTCAAAGTTCGAACTCAAACCGCTTTGCACCGTGGTCAAACATTTTGCAACTGTATCGTACCGTGTTGAACCGTTATAGAAGTTCGAACTTCGGGAAGTTCGAAAAAAAATCACACACGTCCTAATGAGTGCTGCTGTTCCAACGGCAGCGGATTTCTTGATTGCACAAACCCCATTCAGCAGATGGCCTTCAGACCCATTCTCGCATTCAGAGTTGCTGCTTGATCCTTGAAACTGTGACCTTTCTGACACGCAAAACAACCCCACTGAAGCGCAATCCGATAAACGTTTCTGACAGCTTCTGTTGGAACAACGACGGACGGGGGATTACACAGCTAGGGCGCATCCCTTCTTGTTCTTGAAAATACCAATTTATATTACCTTACTTTGTGTGACTTCAGTGAGTACAACGATGTTCATCAAATTTGAATTGAATGTGGACAAAACTACCTGCAACCCATCACCTACGGTCTCTTGAACTCCTAACACTTGAGACCAACGATCGGATACACGATAAGGAGTTGCTCAGCACGCCATTGTGGACGGCGAGTTCAATGTCTTACCTGACGGGTAAAAACAGATCATGGTGCACTGCAATAACTTCCATCTCACCTGAACCCATAACAGTCTCGCTGGTTGAACATTACAAGGTCCATTTTTCACCGTGTGTGTCTGTAAGGAAATTCCCTTTTCCTTACTTCGTGTCCCTGCTCAACGCGTACATCACTGTAGCACCTCAGTCAGCACCGTTACCACTCGCGACCATCGCATCATTCATCATCCCACCATTTTCGCACATCGCATCCCGACCTCACGGCTCGGCTGGTAACCCGCGCTCCGGGCCTACGCTTCGACACTTTCCTAACCTCAGTCCCAGGCTCGTCGCGCGACCATTACCGTTACCACTGTAGTTTCGCTATATATTGTTCGCTCATGCCTTCGCTCATTGTACTCTTTGCTTCGATAGTGCAATTCTCGTTCGTTCACCCAATTGCACTCGTAACACTTGGTATTCAGAGCCTACGATCTCATCTCGGACCGCATTCACTCCTTCGCTTCCCACTATCTCAATTTTTGGGGGGGGGTAGACGCCTCTCAGCGATACAGCACCGCCGCTCATAGTGCTCTCTCGTAAGCACGCACGGCCACGACCGAGGCTCTCGCTGAGCTTCCCCGACACCCCCGCCATGGCCGATTTCAATCTCGCCACGTTGACGCAGGAGCAACTCGATCATCTCGTGCGACAATTGGAGGACTCGGCGCTCGAAATCGCGACTCTCACGGCGGAACGTGACTCCGCCCGTCAACAGTCAACGGTGAATGTACCGACGACATCCCACGCACCAACCAATGCATCCGCACATTCGGAAGAACCAATCGTCATCTCGTCCGGCACACCAACACAAAACAACAGCACGGGACAGCGCTCAGGCGCAGCCAGTGACGGCGCCGCCCAGCCGATGCCCGGCATGGGAGGGAACAGGAGCGCGCTAAGCCCACGGGAGCCCCGAGAAGCCCGTCGGCACGTGGAGTTTGCGGCGACAAGTGGCGAAAACGCCATGATGGCCCCGATGCCACTCAAGCCGCAACGCCCGCCCTGTTTCGACCCAAGCCAACGCGGCGGCCCGACAGTTCAATCGTGGGTCTTCACGATGAATGTGTTTTTCGACGCCAACTACGTCGAGTCGGACGCCGCCAAGATCCGGCATGCGGTTTCACTACTCAGGGGCCCCGCCATGGACTGGTGGCGAGTCATCGTGACGTCGCCGCGCGCCTACGAGCCACCGTCGCACGAGGAAGGGCCCTCGGGTCCAGCTGTTACCTGGAGTTCGTTCTGCGAAACCGCCCAATACAGCACGTGGGATGCGTGGTGCGCAGGGCTTCGGGCGCGCTTTGAGCTGATCGCGGCTTCGATTTCGGCGCGTCAGAAACTGCGCACTTGGCGCCAGCTCGGGTCAGTTCAAGACTATACCAGCGGTTTTCTCGCACTTTGCGAGCAGGTCGGCTACATGCACGAGGCGGAGCGGGTGGACCGTTACGTCGGAGGGCTGAAGCCGGACATCTCGCACGAGATAATGCTACGCGGGCTCTCGAACTTCAACGAGATTCTCGCGCTCGCCGAGAAAATCGACATCCTACGCCGACCGAGACCGGGGTCCTATTACGGACATCGTCCTCGGGGACCGATCGAGCACGCCACTGTACATGCCGTCGCAACGAACGCAGCTGCCACACCGTTTAGAGGGCGCTGCTTTGCTTGCAACCGGCCGGGCCATCGCAAGAGCGAATGCCCAGAGGAGCTGAGGCGTCGAGGAGCAGAGCAGGGGAGGGAGTCTCAGAGGCAGGGAAACGCCAGCAGTCAGTAGAAGTTGGGCCAACTACTGACGAGACTGCCTGCTCGCCCAACCACACCGACCCTCACCGAGTCACAGTATCGATTCACGCCATCGATCGGGCTCGGATGAATAAGGAGGGTACAGCGACGGATTGCCCGGTACTGATCTATGGGACAATACAGGGAGCAGCAGTGAAGATCTTTATTGACGGAGGCGCAAGTCACATCTTAGTTAATACCGCAACCGCACGGAAATTACAGTTAACACTTAACCGATGCTTACCTGAGATAGATGCACGCTTAGTCGACGGCACGCCCCTGGCCATACGGGAAAAGGTGGAGCGAGTAAAAGTCCGCTGCGGGGGGAACTTCGGGTTTACAGAGGAAATGCTCGCAACGACACTGGATGGGCACGACATTTTATTGGGACGTGATTGGCTGCGACGGTACAACCCACGGATTGACTGGACGACGGGGAGTTGCACAGTGCGAAGTAGCGGTAACTGGGTCGTTCTACCTCGCTGGCAGCCACCCGAATCTTCGACAGTCCAGGTCAACGCCATCACGATGAAACGGGCTGTCGCTGCTGGAGCTGACGTGTACGCAGTGGATATTGCGCAAGTTGAAAAAGAAGAGCAGCCGAGTGATTTAGAGAAACTGTTGGCAGCCGTACCGACCGAACTACAGGCACTACTGAAACGGTTCCCGGGGATATTTCCAGATGATTTACCACAGGGACTGCCACCTCAGCGGGCGCACGACCATAGGATCGAGTTAGAACCGAGGGCACAGCCAACTGTACAGCGCCAATTTCGACTGACACAGCCGGAGCTCGACGAGTTAAGGAAGCAATTAGATTACCTGTTAGAGAAGCAGTTTATCCGACCGAGCTCATCACCGTTCGCCGCACCGATACTGTTCACACCGAAAAAAGACGGAGGGTTCCGCATGTGCATCGATTACCGAGCGCTTAACAGGGTAACAATCAAATCACGATACCCCATCCCCCGCGCCGACGAACTGATCGACCAACTGCGAACAGCACGAGTCTTTTCGAAAATAGATTTACGGGGAGGTTTCCATCAGATTCGGGTCGAACCATCGGACTGCGCCAAAACAGCATTTAGGACTAGGTACGGGTCATTCGAGTATACAGTGATGCCATTCGGGCTGACCAACGCGCCTGCAACATTTCAGATGACCATGAACGAGGCGTTTGGGCCACTTTTAGATAAATGCGTGATAGTTTACCTCGACGACATCCTCGTTTACAGTCGGGATAAGCAGCAGCACTTAGCAGATCTTGAAGCAGTTTTTAAGGTTTTAGAAGAACATCGGCTACTCACCAAGGGCTCCAAGTGCGAGTTTTTTAGGGATAGGCTAGAGTTTTTGGGTCACGTCATTTCGGAGGCTGGGGTTGAGATTGACCCAAAGAAGCTGGACACTGTAAAAGCGTGGCGCCCCCCGACGAACATCACGGAACTACAGAGTTTTTTAGGTTTTGTTAATTACGTTCGACGGTTCGTGCCCGACATGGCACGTTTAACAGCCCCACTCACTGATTTACTGCGTGAGGGGGTTGCTTTTATGTGGGGGGAGAAAGACCATGCTGCCTTCTCTGCCCTGA